ACAAAATAATAATTTATAAATTATCAAGGGTTCATGAGGGAGTGGGGAGTGGGGAGGGAAGGGGGGAAATGAGGAGCTGATGCCAGGGGCTTAAGTGCAGAGCAAAGGTTTTGAGAATGACAAGGGCAATGAATGTACAAATGTGCTTTACACAATTGATGTATGTATGGACTGTGATGAGAATTGTATGAGCCCCTAATAAAATGATTTTTAAAAATGTAACCTATGCAGTATACTGCTATAATACAAAAGCAAAAAAAATAATCCTAGTTTTAAAACTATCTGGTTCTCAAAAGATTGACATTAGATGTTTGCTATAGTTGATCCCATTTTGTTTGCGAACTGTTTAATAGGCTTACATGTAGTTACACAAATATTATTTGTGGTTGAAGCTGAAATGGCATTTTATTTTCCGGTTTTGTATTTCTGATCTATAAGAATTCTGAAGTGTGGTGAGAATTGGAGTTTGCATGTATGTGCTATAGGGACAGCAGTGAGGAAGATGAGAGGAAAACATTCTAGCTCTTTCCCACTTTCCATCTTTAATTATAAGTCACACTCCCTTGAAGAAACAAAGTTTGGTTCCATCGATACTTGAGTTAAAAATAAATGGATTTTTCGCACATCTGTATTTCAGGGCCCTGCTAGCCTCTCAGATGGAGCCCACATTTGCCAGGAATGTTTTCCCTTGTTTTGATGAGCCAGCTCTCAAGGCAACCTTTAATATCACAATTATTCATCATCCAAGTTATGTGGCTCTTTCCAACATGCCAAGACGAGGTAAGTAATGCTTCCTATCATCACATAGACGAGCTTCGAAAAGTGTGTGGGAAAACTGAATAGCGATAATGGAATTTTCCTGAACACTTTTTGAAGCCCCCTCATACATACACGTAAGTGCACACACGCACATCTATGAGGGTAAGTAAAAAACTACTGTAACTAACGTTTCAATGATTACTTCCATGAGTTTATTCCAAATGAAACATGTTTAAACATTATCTGATTACTGGATGGCTGCAAACAAATTTTCCTGGAAATACACCTGTCTTAGTGCCATTAGGGTGCCTTCAAAAACCAAAATCTGATTGAAATAGTTGCTTCCAAAGGGATCTCCTGGGCCAGTTACATTGAAGACAGAGAGGTCGGCTCAGAAGGTTATGGTCACTGTTTTTTTGGGGACTCCAATGGGAAATGAAGCACCTAGGGCACTCACAGGAGCTTAACATAAAGAAGCTTTATGATCATTGCAAACGACATTGGTGTAAAAAGACCCAGGAAGGTGGGCGGAGGGTTTCTCCCCATCATAATGCACCTACTCATTCCTTGAGGGTGGCACATGCTATCCTCAAAGTATTTTGTTGGAATGCTTTACCCCGTCCACCTCGTAGTCCTGATCTTGTGCCTACAGACTTCTTTTTTCCCCTCAAAACTCAAAGAACCTTTAAAAAGCAACACAGATCCAGGACAGATGATCCCTTTCAGGACCAACGGTGAGAGTGGTCATACCAGGAGGTGGAGAGGGGGAACCAATTACAAGGATCTACATATAACCTCCTCCCTGGGAAAACAAAAACAAAAAAGCAACACAATTTGAGTCCCTTGATGTATGCTAAAGTCGCTGTTCTGATGTTGTGTAAATCGAAGAATGCAGAGTTCTTTGCGCGGAAGATTTAGTTCAGGGTTGGGAAACATCCAGCCTGCTGGCCAAGGCCCACAGAATCATCCATGTCAGCTACCATCATGCAGCTCTCCAAAGAGAAGCAGTCCCAGTGTCACATTAGGGTTGAGGGAATGAAATGTTTGACCAAATATAGCAGGCTAATGTTTAAGTTGATAACTTTGTATGGCCTGAGAATGATGTTATAAATATTCAGATGGCCCTTGGGGAGGGGGGGGAAAGGTTCTCATTGCTGTTTTAGATAGATGAAAACACCACTTTTGGAGGTGTATAGATCTAGATGGAGGATATATTGAGAGAGAGAGATTTTCGTGATTTTCACACACACACATACACACACCACCCTTTAATGGCTTTTTTATCAATATCATCTCTAGATAATGTTTTGGTAATATTATAATTGTTGCATAATAATAACCACTGTGTTATCAGTGATGGCAAATCACCCCAAATATTACAGTTTTCTATGTGATTTTAAAATATTACATTGGGTTTGTGTTAGGCCTGGTTGTCTAGAGCAACAAATCCTTTGGCACCCATCTATGTATAAGAAAGCACTACATATATCAAGAAGGCATCGCAGCGCAGTCCAACTCAAGTTCAATAAGACAGACGCTAGTTCACAAGGCCCTCTTCAGCCTCACCTGCGGGTGATGGAGAATGGTGAAGCGGGAAGAAGAAAGGTCACGTGCTGATCGGTGCAGAGCCACATGGATCCGAAGTTGGTGGAACATGGTAGGACTCCAACAGCTCTCAGGTTGGCAGCAGAGTCCCAGCCATCAGGTGGAAGGTGAAGGGCAGAGAGAGCAGTTGTCAGTGTCTCACATTCTTATACCCATAGGCTTATGACATCAAGGAGGTGTCGCCAGACTGTGATTTGATTGACAGGTTTGAAACCACCTCTAGCCAGGAGGGTCTATCTGACATCACCCCAGACTACCACAGTCTTCAAATAATTCCCTTGTGGATTTAAGTTTACTCCAGCTAGTTCTCAGGGAGCGAGGTGAGCATAAAGAGGGATGTGTTTAGGGAGAGCAGTCAGTACCCACATCTTGGAGATGAGAAGTCCGGGTTATTTTTGCATTAGCAGCTGAGGACATTGAAACACTCTGTTTTTATACATTGGCAATCTGCCATTAGAAGTCTAGAGAAGTTTGAAGAATTTAGGGCTTTCACTGTTGATCATTAGTGATAACAATCCTGGTAGATATGAAATGAATCTGGTGCACAGATGTGTTTGACTTAACTCACTTGACTTTTTCCTTTTGAATGAATTGGTTTCCTTACAAGTTTAAAAAAATCCCGAGATTCCACATAAAATCAAGCTATTTTATTTCCTCAAAAACTCAGAAAATCAATACCACTTAGCCTGCAGTTCCTAGATGATAGCAATCAGTTAGAGCAAGGAAGCAGCTGCCTCTAGAGCGGCCCTGAACGCTCCCATTTTTCATAGATCTCATCATTCTCCATTTTGCTGGCCCATTTCACGTTGAGTGCCTTGCTCTCTTAGGCATTCAAATGGGCTGTTTCTGTTTTAAAGGCTGCAGAGTGCCTCCAATTCAGACTTAGGCGAATCCTGAGAATGACAGAATTTCTCTTACTTATCTACAGTGGACGTGGGTAGCTCAAAATTAAACAGTGTGCAAAATGGGCTGGCCTCAAAAATAGTAGACATGGGTAGAAAAAATGGGAAAGCAGATTGGGGATCAAACTTACAGGGTGCGTGAGTTTGGCCCTAAGTTAAGTCCATATTTCTCAAGATGTTCATTTGGCCTTGAGATGCTGTCATGGTGAGTTTTTGATAGCTTGTTGTTGTTAGCAGCCATTGATTTGGCCATTGACTCATGGAGACCTAATGCACAAAATGTTGCCCTATCTGACACTATCCCCAGGGTGAGTTGTGGATTGGATCACTTTGGTCCATGGGAGTTTCAGTGATTGATTTTCAGAAGTATATAAGGAGACCATTCTTTCTAGTTTGCCTTATTATTGTAGGAGACTTGCTGAAATCTGTTCAGCATTATAGCAACACACAAGGCTACATTGACAGATGGGGTTGGCCATGCATTGTCTGGGCAGTGTACCTGGGCCTCCTTCATGGAAGGTGGAGACTACTATATCACTAAGCTACAAGTACTTCATCTGTTATGGGCTGTTGTTGTTAAGTGCCATCAAATCCTTTTCCAAATTGCTGGGCTATGAAGAGTGGTTTGGCAGTAGGCGAGTAACAATGAATGACAAAGTATTTCAAAGGCAGATAGTATTTGCTAGGTTTATAGTGATATGAGCTGAAATAAATTCCTGTAGGTCAGTCTGAAAAAGATGTGAATGGAAGCAAATGGACTGTGACCACCTTTCATACCACACCCCGGATGTCAACTTATTTAACTACGGTGGTTCTATGTGACTTTGACCATGTCAACAGAACTGAAGGAGGCAAGGAGGTGAGTAAAGGAGATTCTCCAGGTAAGGGAAAATGGACTGATTGCAGATTGCTCATTACTCTTTCAGCCCTGGGTCTACCCCTACACATCTCTTGTCCTCTTCAGGATTTCTCTGTGTTATTCCCCCCCCACCCCCACCCCCACCAGTCCTGTTAAAGCTCTGCATGTGACTTTGCAGCATGGAATCCAACAATTCCTTTTGCAGCTCTGGAATGGTTTCCATGAAGAGGCTTTCACTCCTCACAGGCAGGCTCTGGGCCCTGTCATCATTCCTTCTTGTCCCTACCCTGCCTTGACAGTGTCCAGGAAGAAGGGAGACTGATGCTGAACTGGTGTCCTGGAGCTCTGATTTAGTCCATGTTGTTTCCTTAGTTATGCTGAAGTGGTGCTAATGGTTCAATGTGTAGCAGCCAAGAGGGCACAGTCACCAACCAATAATAATAGACACTGGCAAGAGACACCTCTTATGATTGAAATAGTGTATACGGGTTAAACGTCATCTTCGTCTACATGTGGGATTGCCATGACCTCTCAGAATTCTGCACAGTGGGGGCTCAGCCCTGAAAGACCTTATTTTCACTACTCATGCCTTCATTATGTAACACTTTAGGAACCATTGAGGCTATCATGAAAATGCCCACATGCTGTAATTGAATGTAGAAATAGGTAAGGTCAGTGTGATAGGCCCAGTTCATTCTAGTGAGATCCCCTTCGTTGGAATGAGAAGACCTGGGCCTTCATAGGAGGAGGCCCTCTCCCGGGCCAAAGATCTCCCAGGCTCTTACTGTTGATACATAAAGACAAAGAAACTGAGGGGGGATGCCAAGCCCACTTCAATGGGGGTAATTGCTCAGAGTGCTTCCCTCTACTTAATCGAATGATGAATTAATAATACAGGCACTCTATAGGTTATGAACCTGATCCATTGCTGTCTTTTAGTCACATTTGTAGGTGAGTCAGAACAGGTGCCTAGTGCTGATTTTGCCTGCCTTTAGTGCCCTGCTGTGAGCAGGGATTGGTTCAGTTGTTTCAAACCAGGGCAAATTTACATAATAATTAGCACTCCGGGGGGTCGATTCCCCAATAAGCAAGACAAGCACAGGCTTTCTGCTGAGATTCCCTAGTGGTAAAACCCATGTGAAATTGTTCATGACAGATAGGTAAGTAAGCACAAGTTAGTTCATGCTTACCTTGTTTTCATCCCCTTATGCTTTCATCGTGTAACACTGTAGGAAACAGTGAAGTTATCATGAAAGTACCTTATGTGTGGCCCTTCAGGGATTGTACATTTGAAAAGAGACTTTGATAGGAAGATAGGAAGATGCTATGGACTTGAGAGAGAGAGACAAACACCAAGAAGCAGAGTCTGTGAATTGGTGAAAAATGTGAATTTGTTCAGCTTGGCAAGTAAGTACAATGTAAGCCTGTGCTTACCTTGTTTATTGGGTAACCTGACACCGCAAGTACAGGTTGCCCATAAATTGGATATTTGTAACTTGGGGACTCACTGTACTCTACTGAAGGCAAGCAACAACCAGCTCCTTAACTTCCTCAGCTGTTGACTCTGGCCTGATTTTCCTTATTTGAATAAGCATTCATAAACACATATATTCTCAAACACACTAGTGGCTGAGCCAAATGTTCCTGACATATTTTGATAAATCTGCTCAAGGACAATTGGGAAGCACCTGCTCACAGTCTAGCACAAAGGAGTGGGCATATGGCTATCGTGTCCCAGGTCTCAGCATCCACATGTCTCATGGCAGGTTGCTCTGAGACTACTGCGCTTGCGGTAATCCTTGCAAAGGAGCACTATCTGGGTCTTTTCAGAAAAGAAAGTTAATGGCCATAGAAGCAAAGAGAATATGGAGAATGCCGAAGAAAGACATGGCCTTGGTCTTAAACTAGAGTTGGGGATGAATTTACCAGTGAAATGTTGTATTTGGCAATGGCTCAAGATTCTGATATGAATGAATCCACCATAGACCCTACTGGGGAACCAAAATCTACTCTTGAAATAGTGTCCAGCCTATACAAAAATTGCTCATCAGGTGAGAGGTGAAATTCTAGTGAAATTGAAAATGTGGTTAACATATGACATGAGGACAACACAGGAAACCCGTGACTAATGTCAGAAATGATGATCTCTGAATAAAATTTAGCACATATGAACACTTGTAAAAATTTTGCTCTCCTGTGTGTAGAGAAAACCCCAGAATATGCTGGTGGACCAAGTGTGATTCTGAAGGAGCCTCATGAAGGCATGTTTTTCATTGGCTGGCCAGGGCCACCTCGCCTTCTTCCAAAGAAAACTCACTACTGTCGAGCCAATGCTAACCCATAGCCCCCCACCCCGCATGGGTTTCTGAGACCGCAACTGTTTGTGGGTATAGAGAACCCACTCTCTCTCCCAAGGAGCTGCTGGCTGTTTCAAACCGTGGGTCATGTGGGTAACAGCCCACGCATAACCACGACTCCACCAGGCCTCTGTAGTCGGCTTGAAATCCCAGTCATTTGCCTCCCTTTTGTTTTATAGCGATACTTTATGAGGAGGAATTTTGTAAAAGGAAAGCAAATATACAAACACATTGCTGTTGCTCTCTAATAGGCTACAATAAAAATGCACACATTAGCTTGGAAGTGGGAGAGGGAGCTATTATTTCCGCTCAGAAATGTGGGCTTTGATTTAGCAGCTCAGAGGTCAGAGCTGGAAGAGGACACGTCTATAGTAGAGGCGGGATTGAGTTCTAACGTCATCTTTCCTCACATGAAAAAAGAAACCAAAGCAAACCCCACTTCCATCGAGTTGATTCCAACTCAGAGAAATCCTGCCGGGCAGGGCAGAATCGCCCCTGTGGGTTTCCAGGGCGCTCAGCCACAAGGGGAGCCAAACATGTCATCTTTCCCCCAACAAGTGACAGGAGATAAGAATGACGGACCTCAAAGTCCGCAGCCCCAGCGCTTCCCAGTAGAGTTCTCCCCACGAGCGAGCCCTAAAGGGGTGGACCAGCCCTCATCTGTCAGGTGGAGCCGGACCATACAGTGTTTCATTGTGTGTACCCGGTGTCATTAGGGGTAGGACCAACACCTTGGCACCAAACAACAATAAAAGCATGACAGCAGTGGTTCCCAACCTTCCTTATGCCGGGACCTTTAATACAGTGCCTCATGTTGTGGTGGCCCCCAACCATAAAATTATTTTCGTTGCTACTTCATACCTGCCATTTTGCTACTGTTATGAATCAGGCGACCCCTGTGAAAAGGTCGTTGGTCCCCCAAAGGGGTTGCAACCCACAGGTTGAGACCGCTGCACTAGAGGGATCATGGCCAAAGCCTTTAATCATAGTATTTTATGAAGAAGAAGAAGAAGAAGAAGAGACTTCAAACAGCATTTTATGAAAGGGGAGCATTCCTGAAGACATTATGTAATTCAAAAGTCACATAACACAAGACTGATTTTCTAGCAGAAATGAAAGTTAACTAAAGTGCCTATGTTCTCGAAGTGCCAACATCTGCAGGGACTCAGTGCTGCCTTTGTTTGCACAGCATTGTCTCCAGTGATGTCGCCGAGAGCTCTCCCGCAATGCACCGTAATATTATCAAGGCTCAAACTCAAACCAAAGTCCCTGCCGTCAACTTGAGTCCGACTCAGAGAGGCCCCACAGGACAGAGAAGAGCTACACCTGTGTGTTCCCCAGACTGTAAATCTGTGTGCCAGCAGAAAGCTGCCTTCCCCTGCAGGGTGCTTGGTGGTTTGAATGGCAGACCTTGCTCTTAGCAGCCCGATGTGTGACCCCGGCGTGTGACTCCGACGTGTGACTGATGTGTGACTCCAATCTGTGACCCCGGCGTGTGATCCTGATGTGTGACTCCGACGTGTGACTTTGATGTGTGACCCCGGCGTGTGATCCCAATGTGTGACTCTGACATGTGACTCTGACGTGTGACTCCGATGTGTGACTCCATAGGCCACCTGGGCTTTTCTCATCAGGGCAATTCATTGTTTCAAGTTTCTCACCTCTAACATTTGTCCCAGAGTTACCTAGTTTCAGGCATGTTCTTTAGCATCAGTTGTGGCAACTCTTTTAGAAAGAACTTAGATGAGACTGTATGGTGAAAATTCATTTTAAAGTGTGGTAGTGATGAATGTGGGGGGGAAAAACCCCAAAAACGCAGCGTACTGTTGTTGTTTTTAGATGCCACGGAGTCTGTTCCAGCTCCTAGTAACGCTGTGCCACCGAAGGAAACCCTGCTGGGCCTGCCCATCCCCCTAATCGTGATGACCCAGCCCGCCGTTGCAGCCCCTGGGTCCATCTCTCTCGTGGAGGGTACCGCAGATCCAAATCTAACAGACATTAGATGTTCTGGTGTCTTGGGCATAGAGTGGTTGCACGAAGCTGGCAACCACTGCGGGGGGGTTAATTTTATCACTAAAGTGGAGGGGTCAGGCGGCAATGGCATAGTGCTTGCTTCCCCTTGCTTCATCAGTTTCAAAATCATAGGACATGAAAAAGATATATTTTTTATTTTACTTTGGGCGAAAATACATACAAGAAAACCCCCTCCTATCCCACAGTCCCTAGACCTGATGATCAGCGGCACTGATTACCGGCTTCACCTGGTGTTAACATCCACGTTATTGCTCTTGGACCTTACATAGAATCTTAATTTTCTGTGGGAATAGATGTCAGTGTGGGCTATCCCAAGGGTCCTTTTCCAAGGATAAAAGTTACACCTGTTATCATCAAAAATTGAAAGAACACATTCTAGGAGATCTACTGTTTACAGCTTCAGTGAGCAGCTTGATGGGTTTTTCTTGGCACATATGCTTTTAAATCATTTATTATATAGCCAAAAAAGCCCCATGACTCAGTGGTTAAAGCACTGTACTGCTAACCAAATAAAAAAGCCGGCGAAGAACCTCGCAGTTGCCGTGAGAAAATAGCTTCGTAAAGATGTACAGCCTTGGGGCCTTTCGGGGGTCATGCTATGACTCTGTCCAGTAGGGCGACAAGTTGGAATCACCTCCAGAGCTGTAGGTTTGGCGTGCTTTTTTGTTGTTGTTTTATTATGTAGCTCCTTTGGAAAAAGTAATTTGAGCCAACCATCTGCCCCTTTCTGCCATTATAAATGCTTTTCCTAATCACTGCTTAAATGTTTTGATTTAGATTCGCATCTGGGCCCGGAAGGATGCCATCGCAGATGGGGAAGCAGACTTTGCATTGAACATCACAGGTCCCATCTTCACTTTCCTAGAAGATTTATTTAATATTAGTTACCCTCTTCCCAAAGCAGGTGAGGCATCTTCCTTTCCAATGCCACTGGTTTCCTGTTATGGGGCCCTTGGGTTGAGATCAGAGAATACACATTTGAGCTTTTGGTTAGGCTAGCTCCTCTAGAGAAGCAAAACCATTATATAGATATAATGTATAATGTGTGATGTATAATATGCGTAATATAATAATATATAACTATAGATAGATAGATAGAGAGAGAAATTTGTATTGAGCAAATGAATTTAAAATGTGTAAAAATGGATAAGTTTAGTCCGGGATCAAGTCCGTAGGTTCGTTGTAAAATTGTAGTCTTCTGATTCTGGGGACTGATGACTCCAAGATTGAAAGGCACACCATAGAGATCAATGGCTGCAAGGTCAGCACGTCAGGTGGCAAGCTGCTGATGGTTCCCAGAATTTGCAGGCAAGAAGGCAGGCCCTGGGCTCAACTTCAAAGAACCAGAGGTCAAGAAACCAGATGCAGAATCCAGTCCAGGCAAAAAGTAAGCAAGCATTTCGACAGCATCTACTAATGCATAGGAAGTAGACCTGAGCCCTGAGGAAATCATGCAGTTGCACCAGCGCCGTGACCTGTGAAAGAGCATAGCATGCCACCCTAATCTTTTTACAGCTGCGTGGAAATTCACAGTAGAGCCCATCATGGAGCTGAGATGTCCAGCCACATCATGAGGGATTACTAGACTTCAACTGTCAAACTACTGAGAATCCCGGCCTCGCCTAGTTGGCATAAAACCCAACTATCACAAGCCTTTAAGGCAGGGAGTCCTCACACTTTTTAAACAGGGGCCAGTTCACTGTCTTTCAGACCCGTTGGAGGGCCGACTATAGTTAAAAAAAAAACTATGAACAAATTCCTATGCACACTGCACATATCTTATTTTGAAGTAAAAAAACAAAGGGGGCAAAAACACCCGGCGGGCCGGATAAATGTCCTCTGCGGGCCCGCACGTGGCCGCGGGCGTAGTTTGAGGACACTTGCCCTAAGGACTCATTGTGACCATTAACTGCTGTTGGGAGTCTGGTCTCCTATCGTTATCTCTTAAGCATTTGGATTAGGAGCTGTTTGTTCCTTCTTTACACAATGCCACATGCCTAGTGGGTCTCAAGAGAGTTCTAGGTCCCTCCTCTGGCCACTGCTCTCTCTCTTGCCATCTGTGCTCCTTGTTCCTAATACAAATGTGTGGTGCAATGTCCTGGTTCTTCTAGCAGGCCTGCATGAGTTCCTCTCGTTCTCATTTGTAAGAGTTACATTTTTTTAACATGCTTTACTGATGAGTCGTTGAATGATGATTTGGTGTTCCCATCTGTGAATTTTCATTGTATAAAATTGGAATCATGTGTGAATAGAATTTGATTATTGAGAAAATACGTGAACATTTAATCTCTCATAGATCTACAGAACATATTCTTAAAATTGTATTAGCAGTCTGCTAAATAATTTTTTTCCATTCCATAACTCCCCCCCACCCCCCCACCCCCCGCCCTAAATTGAGAGTATTGCGCAAATGTATTTTCTTCTTCTGACATGTCTCCTGCAGTTTTTGGAAAAACTGTGGTCTGTGTAGATGGTCTGTGCAGATGATGGAAGAAGGGAGTAGGAGTAAGTACATTTGGGATCTCAAATCTCCTGAGCACAAGAAGACAGTGGCGCTGCAGCAGTAATGTTCTGGCCAAGGGAAAATGTGGTCCAGCTTTGGCCTGTTCAGGGATTCTGCAGGTGGTAACTGTCGTTTAGTGGGTTAGAGGCCAGGCTTGCCGGAAGCGCCTGCTATTTTTGAGGCTAGGGGATTTAAAAATGACCTTTATTTAGAAAGGGTTCTTTTGTGTTTTTGAAAAGAAGAATCCAGAATTATCATGGAGGGAGCTCCAGTGGTGCAGTCGGTTAGCACACGGTACTTATACAGACTTATCATGGATGTCTTACTCTTTCAGAACACCCCCTCCATCCTATTAGTCATTTCCTCTCTATCTCTTACATGCATATACTTTCCCCCGTCTCCTAGCTCACTGTAGTCTACACCCCCAACATCTCTACTGCAGCAGTTCTCACATGATTTCTCCATACTAAAGCCAAAGGGATCTTTCTAGTGGGAAAATAGGATCCTGTCACTTTGCCCTTTAAAAGCTCTCTGTGGCTTCCCATTAGTATTGACAATAAAATCCAAACACGCTTATCATCCCTTGGCAACTTTTCAGGGCTTCCTGCAGTTCCATGGTGTGGAGGTTTCTTGTCACTATCTCTGCTGTTTCCACTGCTTTTTCCCCTTACCCGTAGGCTCTTGAACATGCGTTTTACGTATTCCTGAATGCCTTCTACCCAACCCATCAGTTGCTGTGTTTCTCAGCTCACAACCCCCTTCTCCAGAATGTCTTTCTGGACTTCTTCTCCCACGCTTCCACAGAACCTCATACGCTTCCACTGGAACCCTTGATACACCGTCCGAGTTTGAGACCAAGTTCTGAATCGTCTTTTTTTTTAAATACTTTTCTCCCAGAACTTGTCTCATAGAGGCAAAAAGTAAGCTTTTTAGTAGAGAAATAAATATGTACAGTGATTCCACTTAAGTGATTCCACTTAAACTCTGACTATTCATTTATGGAGACCAGGGTTATGTTGGGCATTTTAGCCAATATAATATATAGAAGGTGCTTAATAAAAATGTGTTTCCCTGGTAGGTATTTCCATTACTATATTTTTAAGATCAGGAGAAACTAATGGTTCTGAATTACTTTACCTCTTGATTGAGTCATAAAAAAAAGAACAGAGCTAAAGATTTTCCTTATCAACATTCCCCTTATGTACATTCTATATAATTCCTCTCAGTCAGTTAAAAAGTAATTTGGTTTATTTTTTTTCCATGTTGTTCTTTTAGTTTATCATCATAGCAATGAATTCTAAACCTTAGAATCTAAGATAAAAGCCATCTTCATGAGTCTATCATATTGAAAGGCACTTTCACTAGTGTTGCTATCATTTAAAAATGGGGCAAAAATGTGAAAATATAACAGAGACTGGTGGAGTTATATATTTGGATTATTAATACAAATTTGGAAAGACAAAAAAAGGCATGGTACTTTTAAGACTAAATATAGATCTTTCAGATTTGAAAACATAATTTCAACTTCCCTTTTAAGTTTTGATCATGCTTGTAACTTGTAACAGTATTGGATTAAATGTATCATACATCTCAACATCTTTGACCATTAGAATACATTAAACCCTGTCAAATGTATATATATATATTCAAAAGACATGTAGAGAGCTTTCATAGCTACACCTATTGTAGTAAACCCAAATTGAAACCAACCCAAATGGTCAGATGATTGTTCAACTCTTTTTTATACTATTAAACTATTGAATTTTATGATATGTAAATTATATGCCAGTAAAACAGTTAGAAAAAGATATCGGATAAATACATTGTGGTATATACATACAACAGACTGCTCTTGCTGTTAGGTGCCGTCAAGTCTGTTCCAACGCACAGAGCTCCCAGCACAATAGAACAAATGCTGCCCAGTCCCGTGCCATCCTCAGACCTATTGCATGGTTGCACCCACTGGGTCAATCCATCTTACTGGAGGTCAGCCTCCTTTCCACTCATCCTCTGCTTTGCCAAGCTTGATGTCCTTCTCGAGGGGCTAGTCCCTCTTGATCAATTGTCCAAAGTAGGTGAGATGAAGTCTTTCCTTGCCATTTTCCCTTCTACAGAGAGTTCCATTTTGACTGAACTTCCTCTGAAGCAGATTTTCTCATCTTCTGGCCGATCATGATATATTCAATATTCATTAGCAATACCATAATTCAACTGTGTTCATTCTTGTCTTCCCTATTCATAGCAATGGAAACGAAGCACATTCTCCAAAGTTTAAAAATAGCAAACACACCTCTACCTCTCTACACACACAGTCCGGTCAATAACTAGTGTTATGAAACAAGAGGAACTTTATTGAACAGAAATATCAAAATGTGAAGACATTGTTTCTCAATATATCCTCCATCTAGGACTATACACTTTTAAAACCAGTGTTTTCTTTTCTATTTTTTTAAATTAAAAAGTTATTTCATTGGGTGTTCTTACAGCTCTTATAACAATCCATACATCAATTGTATTAAGCACATTTGTACATATGTTTCCATCAACATTTCCAAAATATTTTCTTTCTACTTGAGCCCTTGGTATCAGCTCCTCTTTTCTCCCTTCCTCCCCCCACCCTCCCACCCTCATGAATCCTTGATAATTTATGAATTATTTTTATTTTCATATTTTATACTGACTGCTATCTCCTTTCACCCACATTTCTACTGTTCATCCCTCCCTTTTTTTGATGTGTGGGGTGGGTTGTACATCAATCATTGTGATCAATTCCCCCTTTCTCCTCCTTCTCCCCCTACCTTCCCCCTTAAAGCCAGTGTTTTCATCTCTTTAACTCTTCCCCCAAAGAATTCTATACTCTCTGAATTACACTGTCAAAATGGCATTTTTGGCATACAAACTCAAATTGTGTTCCTTTAAAATGCACTTGGGGGTTTTTTTGGGAACAAAAAAAGTCTGAAGGGCAAGATCAGGGCTGTGGGGTGGCTGAGGTCAGTTTTCCTTACACAATTGTCCTATGAGCAGGTACATTGTGTTGCAAAAAAAATTTTTTTTTAATGCTCAGTGTAAATTTCTTGATCCTTTTTGCTCACCAATGCAATGAAGTTTTCAATTTTATAGAAACTTCTTTTCAATACATCATTTGGTTTCTTGATGGCTGCTTCTATGAGCATTGATTGTGAATCTAAGCAAAATTAAATCCTTGACAACTTCAATCTTTTCTCCATTTATGACGTTATCTTACTGCTCCAGTTGTGAGGATTTTTGTTTTCTTTACATTGAGTTCTAATCCATACAGAAGTCTGTAATCCTTTATCTTTACTAGCAAGTGCTTCAAGACCTCTTCACTTTGAGGAAGCAGGGTTGTGCGATCTACACATTGAACACTGTTAATAAGTCTT